TTTTGACCCCGGGGGATTGTGAGACCCATATGAACAGAAAGCTGCATGGGACAGTGCTGCAGTGAAGAAACAAATCAGGCAAGATTATCACTCCTCTGTCTGATGCCAGTGGATTAAATATACAAAGCAGTGGCCAGTCCTGCTAGCCAACCACAGTGAGGTTGCATTGTTTCAAACAGCAATAGTAACTTCAACAGTGGAATACCTCCCTTTACTCTTTTTTTTAACAAATGGTCACTTCAGTGGGGAAGCAGAAGATCTTTGCTTTGCCCCCATGTTCATACTATTCTACATCCCATAGTCCCATACTCTGAGGCAGTCGTACTCAGCCTGTGGCCCATGGAGAGCCAGGTTTGCAATTACCATCAACAAAAAAGGCCACATTTACTTCCATCCCTGGCACGAGGGCTGCACCTCAAGGAGGCTCCAAACTTACCCACTGTTCCAACCATGGCTGTTTCAAGGTAGGAACCACCTGCCAGCCATAAGCCCTGCTGGGCATGGGTATTGTCTGTCCACTTTCCTGAAACATGGGGTAGGTGCCACATTGGAGAACAGTGCTCTGAAGAGCCACATGTGGCTCCTGAGCCACTGAGTACTACTCCTCTGAGTAAATGAGGGAGAATGCTGCAGTGCTCTTGTGAAAAAAGTACATCTACACAGCTATACCTGTCTACAACTGCATTAACTGTTAGAATATTCTACAGTGTCTACATGTTGCTTGTATCTCCATTTCCATTGTGACACCTGAAGTTTCTACTGGGTCTTCCAGCACAATATTACAATACCACAACAGGGGCTTCTGCTCTGGAAATTTCCTTTGGACCATGCCCCAGATAAGCACAGAAACACTAAGCTATACTGGTCCAAACTCTCTGTGAGAGAAGCAGTTTTGTTATGCAGTACTTTTCAGTTGTTTAGCTGTTCACAGTTTTTATGGCTGGGTTTCATGTGTTCTTATCTATACTACTAGTTACTTTAAAAGTATGTCATGTTCTTTCTATATCGCATAAAGTTTATGATATTGCAATGGCCTGATTTGTACATAAAGTTTATTTCAGTGCAGTGAACCAGATGACATACAGTGGTTTCATCCTCTATGATATTGTTTACAAGGAAGCTGATAAATATCATTACTAGTTATACAAAAAAAAGCACTGGTGGACCTCCTGATGGCACTGCTATTTCTGGCCACTGTGTGATACAGAGTGTTGGACTGGATGGGCCTTTGGCCTGATCCAACATTGGCATCTCTTATGTTCTTAGCACATTTCTTTGCAATAAGGGAAACTGATCACCTAAAAATACACCTTCAGACATGCTTTGAAATCAACATTGTAAGCTGTTTTCAGATTCTTCGTGTGTGTGTGTGTATGCTGCCATATCACCACGTCTGCAGCAGTGGATTCCATTTCATCCATTATGTGCGATTTGAAATAGATCTTTGTCTGTCTTTAAGCCTCTGCTCATCAGTATCACTAGGTAAGTTAATGTTCTAGTATTCAGGGACAAAGTACTATTCACTGTTTCCATTACTGTCGATATTTTTAAAATAAACCTCTATTGTATTCCCTCCTCCACTCATTTTTCTCTAAACTATAGATCTCCAAACTCTTTAGCTTTTTTGTGGGAAGAAACTCTCTAAACTTCAAGGTTTCCCACTTTCTAAACATTTTACAGCTCTATGATACCCATTTTAAGCTGAGATGGCCATAACCCAGAACCATACGGAACATTTAAAAGTATATAAGGGTGAATTATTCTCTGAATACAGTTCTTCTTTGATTTTTGAACTGGAACAACAAGGTAAGCTTACAGTTACATAATTTAAGGCAGAAATAAAGTAACAGCAATTACTAAAAAAACAAACCAGTAGCTAGTCAGTCCAATCTTCCTTTTTAGACATCACTGTTGTTACAGAAAGCAATCAATAAGAGAAACTTTGCTTTACTTTTTCAGGAGATAAGGAGGTGGGTCAGGCAATAAACTGTATTTCTGCTATGAGACCAAACATTTCTTTAAAAACATTTGGGTACCTGTCTCTCCAGACCTGGTGACGTTATTTTTTGTCAATTAGCCTTTGAACTTTGTCTAATCACCACTACAGTTCTTTAGACAACCTCCCTAACCACAGCTGTTCTGCCACGATATCTGTCCAGCTTAGCAAATTTCGGTCTAGCCATTCACCATAATGAGTTAGTTTAGCAGCAGGGGTTTATTATAATGATAGTACAATTATGGGTATCTGGAAGTATGAGCAACCTTTTTCTTTTCTAGGAACACTGAAGTGACAGGAGGCCAGTAGTGATGTAGCCATACTAATATAGGACAAGCTATATGAAAAGTACTGAGACTTACTAGCGATTTCAGCTCTCATATTTTTATTTAGTTCGGAACAAGACAACTAGAACCAGCTTGCAGGCCGGTTTATACCTGCAACAATCCCACACCCCAAACACACCCACACACAAGTGATTGGTCATTATAGTGGTCGAGAGTTCCATGGGCTCTCGGCCGGGAGCCTAGCCCTCCTATTGGTGCAGGCTAGGATCCGCTTGGCCCATTGTTCCTGAGAGTGAAGCTCGGCCGCTTCGCATGACCTAGCCGCACACACAGTCGGAGATGGATACATTACACTATAATTGATCACAGTGGCAATATGATCAGTTATAACAATCAGGTGCTGTCTACTTGCAACTTATGGTGACCCCTTAAAGGTTATTCAAGGCAAGAGATAAACGGTAATGGTTTTCCCTCGCCTTCCTCTGCACAGCACCACAGCAGGGCTTGTCCTTGGTGATCTCTCATCCAAGTACTAACCATGGCCTATCTTGCTTATCTTCCAAGCTCTGATATGCTCAGGCTAGTCTGGGATATTCATGCTGCTACCACAATAACAGATCTATCTGTAGTTCATGTAAAATCTGTTATCTGTTTTGTTTCTTAAAAGAACCTCAAAACAATTAAAACGTTCACAGAATGCACCCGTGACTTGTTTTCTACTGGCTCTGGACCAAGTTGCATATCGGGGAAATTACTTCTTGAATTATGACCAGGTGGCAACCCTAGTTTCCACCTTCCACTCCCACTAGGGACTGTGAGTCTGTGACCAACGGCCACTGTCACGAACTGCTGGTCTAGATAGACCTTTGACCTCGTGGAGCAAGGCCATCCTTAAAAATTGGCTCCTGGCCGCCCTTTCCCCCTCGTCCTGGGGAAATCCAAGCCTCTCCCAGCTCCGCCCCCATTGCCCCAGCAACCAGTCTGGTGTCTTTGCCGGAGCAACTCCCCCTGCGCTGCAGTTTCCCGGCGATCCCGGGGCGCCTAAAGGCCATGCCACGGAGCGCGTCATTGTACGTAAGTGCCCAGCGGCCAGGTTCCAGCGCGCTGCCGGCATGGACTGGGCCTCCAGGGCAGCGGCACCCACTCGTAACCCCAACGAGGTCAATGGCCAATCCGCGATGCCATCATCGCTCACACACGGCGCCGTCCGCCCCGGCCTCGCCGTCTCCCTTTCCTGTGGCAGACTGACTGGCACAGGCAGCCCGGCCGGCAGATGCCCCACACCGTGGCGCAATCGCCGAGGAGTCATCTGAGCTCGGGCACCCTTTCGCCTACTTTGTTCTCAGAGCCGGTCCTCCACTGAGCTCCCTGCAGGAAGTTAAGGTCTGGGGGGGAAACCCCGCATTTTTTGCAAAAGGTAATGACTGGAAGTCTTCGCCGCAAGGCCTATCTTGCTTATCTTCCAAGCTCTGATATGCTCAGGCTAGTCTGGGATATTCATGCTGCTACCACAATAACAGATCTATCTGTAGTTCATGCAAAATCTGTTATCCGTTTTGTTTCTTTAAAAAACCTCAAAACAATTAAAACGTGCACAGAATGCACCCCTGACTCGTTTTCTACTGCCTCTGGACCAAGTTGCATATCGGGGAAATTACTTCTTAAATTATGACCAGGTGGCAACCCTAGTTTCCACCTTCCACTCCCACTAGGGACTGTGACCAACGGCCGCTGTCACGAACTGCTGGTCTAGATAGACCTTTGACCTCGTGGAGCAAGGCCATCCTTAAAAATTGGCTCCTGGCCGCCCTTTCCCCCTCGTCCTGGGGAAATCCAAGCCTCTCCCAGCTCCGCCCCCATTGCCCCAGCAACCAGTCTGGTGTCTTTGCCGGAGCAACTCCCCCTGCGCTGCAGTTTCCCGGCGATCCCGGGGCGCCTAAAGGCCATGCCACGGAGCGCGTCATTGTACGTAAGTGCCCAGCGGCCAGGTTCCAGCGCGCTGCCGGCATGGACTGGGCCTCCAGGGCAGCGGCACCCACTCGTAACCCCAACGAGGTCAATGGCCAATCCGCGATGCCATCATCGCTCACACACGGCGCCGTCCGCCCCGGCCTCGCCGTCTCCCTTTCCTGTGGCAGACTGACTGGCACAGGCAGCCCGGCCGGCAGATGCCCCACACCGTGGCGCAATCGCCGAGGAGTCATCTGAGCTCGGGCACCCTTTCGCCTACTTTGTTCTCAGAGCCGGTCCTCCACTGAGCTCCCAGAATAAGGCAGCGGGGGTGGTGGGGGTGGGGGTGTCTGTTCCTCCGCAAGCGCTGCCCGAGGCCAAAGCACGGGGTTTACAGTGTCCTCCCGTGCCGAGTTGCTCAATTCTAAGCGCACTGAACGCAACAGGCTGAAATCGGAGGAACCGCACGGCTTCGGTCTCAGTCCCTGACGCCCTCCCCTCCCGCGCGGTTCCCCAAGAGGGCAAAAAGGGACATGCGCGCCCAGAGACGCCCCCTTCATGCGCCCCCCCCCCCGAGCCTTTCTGCGCTCCCTTCGCTCGAAACCCTTCCCGTCGGTGCAAGGAGGAAGCGGCGAGGGGAGGAGTCGGAGGAGGGCTGAGCTGTGGGTTGGGGAAGGCGGTCCAGGGAAGTGCTACGTGTCTCCTCTCTGCCCCTTATACCTACCGTCTTTCCCTCTCGGCAGCCAGCTCAGTGGGAGCGAGCCGCTAAGTCTTCTCCTGACCGCCCGTAGCCGAGGGAGCCGTCGCTACCGGGTCGCGCCGCGCAGCTCGAGCCCGGCAACATGTCCGAGAACAAGAAGCAGAGGATGGTAGGTGCCGGCTCAGCGCCTCTCCCTCCGCGCGCGCAGAAAGCGGCACCCCGCGGGGGGTCCTTGGCCGGCTCCCCGGTTGCGCGCGCGCTTACTCTTGCCACTCATGCGGGCCCCTGATTGGCTGCCGCTGCGCGCCCCATCCCCAGCTGGGGCAGCCGCCGCTGACTGGGATGCGGTCCTGTGGGCCGGGAGTCTCTTCCCCCAGGACTCGCGGGAGGCTGAACTTCCCAGTGGTCATACTTTGGTTTGGGCCGGTGAAGTCTTTCAGCCCGCTGCCCCCGCGGCCGCCAGGGGTGGAGATGGAGGCGATTTGATGTCTCGTCTGTGGTAGCTGTCATGGTAGTCGAATCACTGGAACCAGACTGCCGTCCTATGTAAATTGGAACTGGGGATAGATGCACTCTGATGCATGATGCTTGCTGCTGGGAACAGCCGCATTACACAAGTCGAGGAAACCTGGTTGGGGCAGATTTCCACACGTGTGTCGATGTAGGCACGTCTCTGATAGCGACATGTTATGTCTCTACTGCTGGAAACACTGGTACAGCTGTCATAGTGTGTAGACCTGTGTACTCAGAGAGCGTCACACATGCTTGCTCAACTTTGGCCGAGTCATGCCTCGGGGATTGCTGAGGCTGCCAAAATGGCCCTGGGGTGTGTGCTTCAAATGGAGGGGGCACCAAGCCACACTCTGCCCTCCAGGTCCTAAGGTTCTCCTGTCTGCTTCCATTGAATGTTCTCTCCTCGACTATCATAGCAAAATGATACACACTCACCCCGTGTTCAAGGGCAGTTTACCTGTTAGACTAACAGTTGCTAGAGACAGACTAAAGGGGAACTCTCGTGTCCTCCTTAGCTTGTTTGTAAGCTGTCCAGTCTGCTGGTGCTGATGAAGACATAACTTGCCCAAATCTAGAGACTGTGCAAGGAAGAGGTAGAGTCTAATCCTTCAAGACTAAATCTCCCAAATCATTTCCTTTGTCATTAATTTACCCCCAAATATTCTTGTTTGCCTCCTGGATCTCCCCATATTAATTCCCTCCCAAACCCATTTCCAAACCGTTATTTTCCCGAAATTAATTTCCCCTACAGAAAAAAATATATATTCTCCTCTGTTGGTGGAAAGTGCTGCCAAGTCGCAGCCAACTTATGGCAACCCTGTAGGGTTTTCAAGGCTACAGGCGAACAGAGGTGGTTCACCGTTGCCTGCCTCTGTGTAGCGACCCTGGACTTCCTTGGTGGTCTCCTGTCCAAATACTACCCAGGCCTGGCCCTGCTTTGCTTCCAAGACCGGGCTAGCTTGGACCATCCAGGTCAGATTCCCCCATTGATTTCCCCCTCTGCTTCCCCGCTCAAAAGAAAGTAAAACTCTAGTTTTATCTCATTTTCCAACCTGTTAATTTTCATCCGTTACATTTTAACCAAGAGCAACCTAATCCTGTGTATTAACTTCTGTTCCCCTGCCCAGTTTAGAAAGGCTGGAGAATAAAGTCTCTGAAATGTAATAAAATAGGCAGCTTCTTGACCAACTATCAGTGCTGGAATAAACCACCTTGTTGCCCCACTCATCTTTATTCAACAGCTGTGTTGCCCACCAATGCAGATGCCAGTACAGGTGTGTGAACCACTATAATCTGTAGGACAGGTAGGGAGTAATTATTGTGCATCCTTTTTTTTGTCTGCCTGTGCTTGTGCTTTCACGACATTTCAAACATCCCACTTTATTTGATCCATTGCACAAATGCACCTGTCGAATCGGGGGAAGGGTGGTTTGGTGTGCTGTGTGCATTGTGAAAGGAGCCCACAACTGTCACATTTGCTGATTTGGGTAAACTGTTCAGGCAATCTGTTCCATCATTCAGATGCTCCAGAGCATTGTTTAAAATCATTGCTAAAAGTGTGATGCCTTTCAGTATCTTAGAAGCCCAGTTTTCCAGTCATGGAGAATAAAATGGGGAAGGGGGAATGATGCTGTAAACTACTTTGTGTCCCTGTTGCAGGAAAAAGTGGGTTATAAATACAATATAACAAATACACTTCAGCTCTCTGTCTCTAGAAGTGACCTCTTTTAACATGGAAAGAGTATAATGGATTTCTGGCCGGGTTAATGACTGTCATCCAGATTATATAGCTGTGTACAGAGCAGAGAGCAGAACCAAAGTACAGCAAGTCAGTACTGCTGGAGAAGGAATGATATCATGAGTAAGAGATACCTACATGGTTCAAGCAAGCAGACCTCCATCACCACCACACACACACACACATTCAAGCACAAGCACCCAGGACAAAGAGGAAAAGTCAGTGTTGTGAAAGACTTACAAATAGTTACACACTGGTGCTCTGTGTGCAACAAGAAGCCTTGCCAGATATTGGGGATGTGACTCTGGTGGTTTGGATTGGAGCTCTTGGATTCATTCATAAAAGACAGATATATCTCTCATGAGTCTGTGCTGATCTTTGGCTCTGTACCCAGGAGATCCTGCTGCATTCTTGGACTACCTCAGAGAGAGTTCATTGGCTTGCAGCATCAACTCTTTGTTGTCACTGCAGTGTATTGCTCAGGAAACAGACAAGAGAAACAAACTGATAGGAGAGCAAGACCCTCTCTCCTCCAATTTCCCTAACTTAGATCCTGCTGCATTCTTGGACTACCTCAGAGAGAGTTCATTGGCTTGCAGCATCAACTCTTTGTTGTCACTGCAGTGTATTGCTCAGGAAACAGACAAGAGAAACAAACTGATAGGAGAGCAAAACCGTGCAAGACCCTCTCTCCTCCATTTCCCTAACTAGACCATTTTTTCCACTGTGTTGGCCACAGCCTAGGAAATTCTCTGCTTGTATTTGTTTCCTTCTTAAGGTTCTGCTTCATGGCTTGACAAATTGGCACTCTGAAATTTGTGTTGCTTCGGCTGTTTGAGGGTTCTCTCTGACTGGGAGCACACCCTTTCAGGACGCCATAAGAATGGCTGAGATCCAAAAATTGAAGAGCTCTTGCTCACAAGCAGTTCAAGTGAATGAGATTTAAGTGACTCAGCTCTGTGCAGGATTACAGCCAAAATAAATACGATGGCAATCTTTATTAGATTAATATTGTTTGGGGAAGCAGGCTGGGGGAAAAAAGGTTTGAAACTATTTGGAAGCAATGTCATGGTTGAGGAGCAAACTCTGGCCCCGATCACACGGGAAGATTAGATCCGCAAGAGGGACGGATCGGGGGCGCATCACACCGCAACGTCTGGGAAGCGGCGCACACCCATCCCCGATCCGTCTCTTCCAGCCAAAGATGCGGAGTTAAAATAAACCTGCTAAGCACTACTACCTACCGGAAAATCCACTGCACGGGTGGCCGTGTGATTGCCGACGTGCCTGTCTCCCGCAGCATGCAAGGTCCCCTGCCGAACTGCGCAGGCGCACACAGGCGCATCAGCCTCGCCTCGCTCTCCTGTCCATGGCTTCCCCCTCGCATCTGATCGCGCTGGGGAGCATATGCGCGGCGGCTCGGAGGATCTGTCTGATCCCTCTGCAGCATTTCTCTTTTGCTGCGGCTCTAAAAAGCCGCACTTCAGCCGTGCCTTTCCCCCTAGTGTGACCGGGACCTCTGAAGGAGAACTGGTGTGTGTGTGGGGGGGGTATCCTGCATACGCCTAGGAACCAAGAGATTTTGATAGTCTTGGAATAATTTCAGATATCATTTACTTTGTGTGCACCTCCAGGCTTGGCAGGGAGGGCGGGGTACAAATCTAAATAAATAAATAGAATAAATTAATAGATCTGCTTCAAGAGAAGAGATCTGGGAAGCTTGAAGTTCAGTTGCCAACATAGGTTGAGTCCTGTAAATCTTACTTATGTTTATCTCTGTAAAGATGCCTTTTTTCTGTGAGAGGGGGAATAAAAATTCAGATACATAGCATAACAGAGGATTTAGGTTCCCTCCCCCCCACTAAACCATGTGACTTTGGCTTAAACTTGAATTGAATTTGTCAAACGGCAGTTCTAAATGTCAGGGTTAAAATACTTAACTGTTATATGCTTGAGTGAAGTTTGTCACTTGCCAGCAGCAGGGGAAACCTTTACCTTTACTAGTTAGACTTACTGTGTGCCTCCAAGCAGTTTAAGTGTTTGATGGTATCAGAGGGATCCTCTCAAGGTGTGAACAGTGTAACAAGGAGCATGTCAGCAAATATACTGGTCTGTGTTGTGTCTGGCAAAAGAAACACAAGAGGTACAAAATAGTTGGAGCCCAAGTATTGTCTGCAGAGTGAAGCCTGCAGAACGGGACTTTCAGGTCTCCCTGTTCTTACTGCAGCCCAGAGAGCCCCTCCAAATTCTGTAGAAATTCTAGGTGGGCTCCAATGTTCCCTGTAAGCTATGGAACTCTGTGAGCAAAAATTCTACTCTGTGAGCGACTGGCATTAACGTTGTGAGCAGGAGATTTGGCTGCTGCATAAATTAGTTTGCTTTGGAGCCATCCTTCCTGAGCTAAGACGAAAATGTGTGAGCCAGAGGCTAAAAACCTGTGAGCTAGCTCACACTAACTCAGCTTAGAGGGAACACTGGTGGGCTTCAAGTCCTTATGTGTCACTACTTCAGAGAGAGAGGGAGAGAGAATGTTTTTTAAAAATTTAAAGTAAAACATCTGATGTATTTATAGTCTCCTGCTGAATATTCTTGTCAGAAGAACTTTGGCAGTGGCTTTCAGTTTGAAAACAAGAGTCCAGTCCAACCAAACTTACAGTGCCATCATAAGCAAAGTTGTACCCATGGATTTCAGAGGACATAGAAGGATGTAACTCTCCTTTGGTTGACATTGTTAAGTCTTTACATTTAAGTCTCATTGATTTAAGTAAATTTAAGCATGTGTTTTTCTTTTCCGCCATTGAAAATAATGGGCCCATCTCAGTGGCCTTGATGAAGACAGTTGTCTTCCCCTAATGTTGCCACTTAGCAATAGTCATTGATAGACTGGTTCTCCATGAATTTGTCCAGTTCCCTTTTAA